GGAACAAAATCCTCCCTGATTTCTTTCCTGCTTCTTTTCTGGTGGCGTCTAGAGACTCGCATTGAGGTCTGTGACTCCCTTTGAGTTTTGCTTTATGCGAGATGCGGGTAGGTTCAGGGTTCTGTCTGCAACCCCGATTTTCCCGTCGCTCCATCCAGCTCAGTTCCTCTCTAAATAATTTCCCATGTCTCGGTCTTATATTGCTCTCTGCCTGCATCTCTAGCAGTGCTCCCCTGCCTTACTTAGCACAAAACCAGGAAAACCGCCAGCAAGCTGGGAGTGTCAGCTCTAGAGAAACATTTGCTCTTTGGAGTAGGAGAATGTGCGGGAAACTCCACTGGAGGAGGCTCAGCTAGGGGAGGGCTCCAGGTCAGAACCAGTCGGGGAGAGGTTGGTACCCTCTGGGCTGCAAAATTGGGGCCACCTTCTTTCTCCCCAATCCCCTCAGGGAGCAGCTAAAAATATTTATTGATTTTGGGCACTGTGATTTACAATACTATTAATGGTCACGTTCCATTCCTAACACAATCCAGCAGTACTCTGTCCCTCCTAAAATGTCCACTACCACTCTGACCCCCCAAATGTCCACTCCTACCCACCATTGTCTCCATATCTCCTCCCCCGCCTCCCCACCTGTCTTATTTCCCACCATGGTCCTGTGGGAAACTTCCTACTGAAGACCAGTTCTTAGTTTCTCTTGCCTTGGGGCATTTGTTATGCCCTATTCTTCTTCTTTTTTTTTTTTTAGTGAGACACCATGAGGTACAGTTGTATGTAGACTTACAAATTTTTGTACTTGGGTTTCAATTATACAATGATCAAATACCCATCCCTCCACCAGTGCCCATTTCCCACCACCACGGATCCCAGTATCCCTCCTCCCATCCCCCCGCCTCTGAGGCAGGGCATTCCCTTTTGTTCTCTCTCTCCTTTTGGGTGTTGTGGTTTACAAAAGAGGCATTGAGTGGCAATCATGTTTGGTCTGTAGTGTCTACTTTCAGCATGCTTCTCCCATCCTGGGAGGATCCTCCCAACACCCTTCTCTGAGCTCCCTTTTCCCCTAGCATGTGTAGCTGGCCTCCAAGCCATGGAGCAAAATTCCTGGTACTAATCTCGGCCATTCTGAGAGATCATTCTATGTCTGCCCTTCTCTCTCTGGTCCATGTCCCCCAACATGAGCCTGTTCAGATCCAGCCAAGTGGTGGCATGTCACATGATTTCGCTTTTCTCAGAGCCGAGTGATATTCCATTGTGTATTTTGATTCAGTTGCTGTTCTTGGACACTCGGTTGATTGCAGATGTTGGTGATTGTGAATGGTGCTGCAGCATAAGAGCACAGATGCCTTTTCTGAATAGAGATTTGGGATTCTTGGGGGAGATGCCCAGAAGTGGAATTGCTGTGCCATAGGGAAGCTCAATGCTTATTTTTTTGAGAAGTGTTCATATTGTTTTCCCAAAAGGTTGGCATCAACCTCAACACCCCATGATGTGGCACTGGTGTCCCCCAAGTGCTGCCAGGCAGCACTTGGCCAGGAGTGGCCCCAAGTTCCTCCCTCCCTCAGTGTCAATAAAAATCTGCTTGGGAAAAGGCAGGAGAATAGGAAGGAGGAAAAAAAAATATCCAAATGAAAAACTCAGAGAAAGTTCAGATTGACCAATAGAACACCGTTGAAGAAGCATTTCCTGGGTGAATCCCCATGAGCTAATAGATGGATGGAAAAGATGAAGGAAAACACAGCGAATGCCATACTTGGCTGGAGTTTTTGAGTGCCAGGTTCTGTGTACAATGCATTCCACTGTGGCCCAATATTTAAGGAAGGTGCTGTCATAATCATTTTGGTGCACATTGCCAAGGACATAGAGAAAGTAGGATGGCAGACCCAGCCCCCAAAAGCTTGACCCTGTAAGGCACAGGGAACCTCTGGGGAGGGTCACTCACATTCGCTGCTATCATAGAAGGAAACCATAAAAGAATGAGAGTAAGAAGTGTGATTACTTTCCAGAGGCAAATCCTGATGGATGCAGTTACTGAAGAATGAGCACATGGTAGCAATACTGTATTTTAGGTTTCGAACTTTGTTTTTCATATTTTGTTTGGGGGCCACATCTGGTGGTGTTCAGGGCTTGCTTCTGGCTCTGTCCTCAGGGCTCACTCCTGGTGGGGCTCAGGGGCCCAGTGTGGTGCTGGGGATCAGACCTTCCAGATGCAAGGCAAGTGCTCTATCTTCTGTACTATCTCTTCAGCCCCATTCTTCATCTTTCACAATTCATTTGTTTTTGCTTTTAGTTTGGCATTGTGATTTACAAAGTTTTTGGTCACAGTTTCAGGTGGTCAGTGTGTCAACCCCAAACTCCCCACTAGTGTCGGCGCCTTCCTCTGCCAGTGTTCCTGCCCACTCCACCCCACCTCCTTAGCAAACATTTAAAGATGATTATTGCTTGGGTCAGATGCTTCAACAAGTGTTGGCTCTTATGGTTTTGAAATGTATCAAATTTTTCCAAAGACTGTCTTAATTATGCACTCCTCACAACAAAGAAATGATTGCATTCTGTGATCGTGTTGCTCCTTGAATACCAGATGGTCTCAAACATCTATGGTGTATAGAAAGAAGAAACTCTATGCTAGTATTGAACGATGGTAGTCCCTTGGCCTTGGTTGACAAAACCCAAATTCTGAGGCACTGGGAGGTCAGGACAAGGAGGAAGGAAAAGGAGGACAAGAGAGACACAGTGACAGTGATTGAAGGTCTTGGTCATTTGGGGGGTGGGAGAGTGCAAAAACTATATGTCAATACCAGAAACATTTACACTGTTAGCTACCTCTATTGCCATATTGAATACATTATAATAAAATAATATTTTAAAAAAGACTAGAACTTGGGGTACAGCAGGTTGGGTGCTTGCACTACCTGTGGTCGACCTGGGTTTGATCCAGGCATTCCATGTGGTCCCCTGAGCAAAGAGCCAGGAGTAAGCTGAGTGTGGCTCCCAAACAAACAAAAAATTATAATAAGTATTATGCTTAAAAATATGCATTATAATGATATATTCTAATATATTGCATACAAGTTGTATATACAATTGTATAATATATAGATCGCATGTTCTATGTAATTCATACAATATATAGATTCTAGTATGTATACATGTACAGCACAGTAGCCTTAGGTGCAGCCAATCTGAGTTTGATGCCTGGCACCACCTGGGGACCCCCGAGTATCACCAGGAGTGATCTGATCACTGAACTTAGAATGAGGTGTAAGCCCTGAGCAAAGCGGGTGTGGCCAAAAAAGAAAAAAGAATCAAAACAAAATTAGATCTTAATCTCACTGCATACACCAAAAACTAATGACAATGATGTGCCCTGTGAGAAGTGGGAGCTAAATGTACCATGGAAATCACCATGCAGAAATGTAACCCAGTCGACAGTAGAGGTACACAGTGTTCGTGCCAGCTTTATCTCAGTGTTGAAAAGATAAACACCTGTTAGAAAATTTGCTGTAAGCGTCTGATGTAAGGGGATCAAGCAGATGTTAGAAGGAGTTCAAAGATGTTAAATCAGGACAAATTTATCTGGTAGAAAAGAATATTGAGATAAATGGTAGAAGGGGTCACGTCAGCTATTTATCTACAGGATGCAGGAAGTCAAATCCCTGACAATTAAATTACCACCAATTTATATATCTTTCGGCTGCCTGCAATTTAGCAAGAGCTATGAAGTCCTGTCTACACAAGGCAGGGTGCAACAGCTAACCTAGATCCATGTTTTCCACTTGAAAGCAAACTTCTTTTCTACAGAAACCATGTGCCAAAGGTATGGCTGACAATGCAGTGATATTGATGAAAAACAGACATCCTCAAATGGCCAAAGTAGTTTAGGAAGAAGTCTGAGGAAATAGGTCATAAAAGGGCCCTGGACAAACGGATGAAAGCTAGAGGATGCACAAGCTTAGGGGACCCTACAAACATGAGAAAGATCCTAGGTTACCCAGAAAGGAATGCCAGTTGCACTGATGTGTGCATTTCGGAGGCAAGAACAGAAGCCAGAAAAAAATATTATCTTCTGAGTACTGAAAGACAATTATCCACCTAGAATCCTGTCACTTATTAAACCATTCTCTGCGGGAGAGGCAAAATCAGGACATTTTCAGAAAATCAAAGCTACTTTGCAGAGGTTAAATTGCCAGAAAGAAAGGCTCAGAAACACTAGTTATTATGGAGACACTCAGAATAGACATTTGAGTAACAGGATTTGGGCAGGATTAGAAAGCAAAGCAACTGGTAAAAATTCCAGTAAATATGAGCAATTTTGAATATGCAAAATAAGAATGCTGAGCTTGGAGCTCCTTAAAATAAAGTGTCATTAAAATATTGGGAAATAGTGCCCCAAGAAAGAGTTCTTGATAAAAGTTGCAGGAGAAAGGCACTCCATCATACTTCTGCTCAGGCTGAACAGAGAGCTGTCAGCTTTAAGGAAAATTGATGGGATAAAAATATAAGTGAGCTGCCAAGGTTAAGACTGTTGCCTTGCACATAGTTGCCCCTGGTTTGGTCTCTGGAATCACAAATGACCTCTGAGCATCTCCTGGAGGGATCCCTGAGCACAAAGCCAGGAGTAAGCTCTGAGCACAGCTGAGTATGGCCCACAACCCGACGAAGAAATGTTTGTAGATGCAGATAGAGGCGTGCCTCTGCAGGTGCCCCAATAGTCTGGTTCACAGCTATACCTGGTATCCTGAGCACTACCAGGTGTGGCCTCCCCACCCCCAAACAAAATATGCAAGATCCATCTGAAGTGTGAGGATAATGAATGTAACATTCAGGAAAGCAGCCCCAGTGCCTAGGGCCTTGTGTGTGCAGTGGGCCCCCTCCCAGACTGGTGCCCGGCTCCAGGCAATGGTGTCTTGGCATCATCAAACCTGGCATCATCAAACCCCTAACAGTGGAGGCTGGTGGGTCTGTGCAAAGTCGCTCACCCAGTCCCCTTTGGCTCTCTGCAGCGCTGACGAGCGATTTGATGCCACATTCCACACCAACGTGCTAGTGAATTCTTCAGGGCATTGCCAGTACCTCCCTCCAGGTAAGAGCCTCCTCCTTGGCCCCCATGACCAGAATGGAAGCCAGTGGTCAGTCAGATGGCCCCTCCTGCTTGTCATCCCCCAGACTCCCCTCCACGTGTGTGCCCAGATGCCTCTTCCTGCATCTCATGTGCCACGCCTCCCAGGTCCCCGCTCTGCACCTGCTCTGTGCGCCTGTCCTGTTTGTGGTGACAATCCACACTGGGGATCACATGTACTGTGCCCTGAGCCTCCTCCCCTCTAGCCTGCAAACCGTGGCAGACCCCAACCCACTGCACAAAGACCCCATCCGACCCCAAGCCTGAGACCAGCCCCCACTCACCCAAGTCTTCTTCACAGAGCAGGATGTAACCAGAAAAGACTCAACAAGGGGGGCACAGTGCCGCTCCACAGAACCTACCACACGAGGCCGCCCAGCAGGATCTCGGGGCTCTGGGGCGCCCAGGGAACTGAGCCATGATGACAGGACTCACCGTATATTGGCTGGACAGTCCTGAGCTGTGTGACAAAGGCTGTTGGTGGCAGAGACCATGACAGTGCTGTCCTGTCCAGCAGCCAAGCCCTGGCACAGTAGTTTTTTGTGTGTATGTGTGTGGGGGGGGGGGGTGCGGGGGGCAGCTCTGCCACAGAAGTTCGACTAGAAAATTACTCTACTCTCCATCTCATCTTCTCTTTGCATTCTCACTGGGACAGTGTGAATATTGCCCTGCACAGAGCAGGAGTTGGTGATTTTGATAAAGGCTGAGACTGACACGAGTGTCACCCACTCTGTTTTTGAATTTTTTTTTCACAGCCATGGAACTCGAACTCTGGAAAGATTATGTTGTCTGTGTGAGGTTACCCCCCTCCTGGGCTGCCAGCTCGTGACAACCTGCAGCCTCTGAAGTGCCAACTTGCTGCACTTTCTCTGGTCATTCAGTCCAACGTGATGGTACAATCAGGCAATGTTTTCCTGTAGGACACACTAGAGTGGACAGACAGACATGTGCAACATGGCAATGACTGAGCTCGGCTCAGGAGCAGCTCGCCTGTCTCTGTGGGCTGACAGATCTCTCTTCACTGTGCCTGGGTGCTTGCCTGGCATGATAGGGTCTGAGGACAGAGACAGGGTCTGCCCATGTTTCTGTGCTAGAGAGTTTCCCAGGGCCAGGGAGAGCATGTGACTCTCTTGTCAAGTGCTGGTACTGCAAATAAATAATGCACTGGATCAGAGACAGAGCACAGAGCTTAAGGCCCTGGCCTTGCCTGCGGCCAGCTGGTTTAGTCCCTGGCACCATAGTCAGGGGGCATCCCTGAAGTACCCCCAAGCACTCCCAATGTGACCCCTGTGGTTCCAGCACAGCCACCGAGGGCCCTAGCACTGAACCACTGTCCTGGGTGATCGAGAGTTGCCAGGCCTGGTGTCTGCACCTCCCAAGCACCCTGGGGACCACCCCTGATCGCTCTGCGTTTAGCTCTATGGAGGTATCTTTGATGAAACTGATTTTACAGGGGCCACATGTGGCAGTGCTGAGTGATGAGGTAGGTGTGCATCGTGCCTGAGGCCAGACTCAGGGGTTCACACCTGTTGGAAATGTGCTGCACTCATTTCCTATTGTCATGGGTCAGGCTGCAGAGACCGTGGGCTTTGGATGTCTCCTGGGGGGCAGCAACCTCATTGCCTTGACCACAGCCCCGGGTATGGGATTGCTGGAGCACGTGGATGTTCTATTTGTAATTTCTCAAAGAGCCTCTGAGACTCCACTGAGGTGTGTGTCCTCAGCCCCAAGGACCCGGTGCTTGCCAGTTTGTGTTTAAAGCCCAATCAGCTCTCCATGTCCCCTGACGGCACCTGTGGCCCATGCAGGTATATTCAAGAGCTCCTGCTACATTGATGTGCGCTGGTTCCCCTTTGATGTGCAGCAGTGCAAGCTCAAGTTTGGCTCCTGGTCCTACGGAGGCTGGTCCCTGGACCTCCAGATGCAAGAAGCAGATATCAGCGGCTACATCCCCAATGGCGAGTGGGACCTTGTGGGTAAGGAGCTCCCGACCAGCCTGAGGCATAGGGAGGGGCGTGCTGAGTGGGGGCAGTTGGGAGCTTTTGCCACGTGTGTGTGTGTGTGTCTGTGTGTCTGTGTGTGTGCAGATTCCATCACACACACATACATACACACACGCACACACACAGAGCAAAAACCAGGAGCTGAACTTAGCAGCCTTGAAGAAAAATGCCCGATCCCCTGACCGCATTTTAGTATGAGCATTTATAGGAGCCTGCGGCGTTGTCCATAATTCACAGAGAGCTATAGCAGGAGAAACGAAAAACAATTAGGAAGCCTGTGCTTTCCAGGAGGAACTTGGAGGAGAATCATTGCTGTAGGAAGCCCTTCGTTACTCACACCCAGTCTGCTTGGACTGCAAATGGCATGGGGTAGATGGGGGGAAGAAGGACATAGAATCATTGGTTTGAAATTGGAAAATAGCCCTGACATTTATAGGAGCAGAGAGTCTGCTCTGCATTTGTCAAATATCCTTCTCGCTAGGCGGGTCAGCTCACTTGGCAAGCAATGGACCCAGGTAGTTGCTTTTGGGTTGTGTGTGTTTGGGTCTGTGGTTTTAATTTGGTGGGGAGCCACACCCATTGGTACTTAAGGACTGTTCCTGACTCAGTGTTTGGGGGTCACTTCTGATAGTGCTCAGGGGACCACACAGTGCCAGGGATTGTTGCTGGTGATTTATGTCAAGGGGGACAAACAGAGTGGCAGACCTGAGAGGTGTGTTTGTTGTTTTATTTGTCTCTCCACCTCAGTCACCCGGCATATGTCTGGGGAGAATGAGGACTGGTGGTGATGAGCCCTGAAAAGGCCAGATTTCACTGAGTGTCACAGAACAAGTACCTTACAAAAGACAGGAGTGACGTCTCCCGGTGCTGGCTCCATGAGCCTCCCAGAGTCGACCTCAGACAAGGTCACCTTACCTACATCTAGGAAGCCCTGGATCTTGTAGAGAACTCCAAGTCTGGTGGGGACTCACTTTCTGATTTATAGACTGTCTCCTGGTTAGTCCTCCTGGAGCAGAAGAAACCAGGCAACTCTCTGAGGCTTATTTCTTCTTTTTTTATATTTTAATTCCTCCATCCCTCTCGGAGAGCCCGGCAGGCTACCGAGAGTATCCCGCCCACATGGGAAGAGCCTGGAAACCTCCCTGTGGCATATTTGATATGCCCAAAAACAGTAACAAGTCTCACAATGGAGACGTTACTGGTTCCCGCTTGAGCAAATCGATGAACAACGAGAGGACAGTACTACAGTGACACTGCTACGGTGCATTTCTTCATTTGAAGCACCATGACTTATTGTATTGTTCATTATAGAGTGCCATGCATCCAACATGCCAGCCCCACGCCGCCCACCAGATTTGCCCACTTCCCCTGACCCCTGCTTCAGTGTCCCCACACCCCACCTAGACATAGTCAGCTCAGTTCTTTCTGGGATTCTGTTGCCTTTGGCTTTTTGTTATTATCTCATTATGCTATTTTATATTCCACATAGGAGAGAGATCATTCTGTGTCTATCCCTTTCCCTTCCTTCAGGCTGGCTTCACTCAGCGTGATCCCCTCCAGTCCCATCCACTTAGCATCAAATTGCTTGATTCCCCCCCCCCCCCCACCTTACAACCTAGTAGTATTCCATTGAGCATATGGATCACGGTTTCTTTATCCACTCATTTATTCATGGACACTGGGGTAATTTCCACACTTGGGCTGTTGTGGGTAGTTCTGCAGGGAGCACCAATGCCTTTTCAAAGTAGTGTTCTGGTGCCTTTGGGGGTAGATGCCAAGAAGTGGAATTGCTGAAACAGATGCAAGTTCAGTTCTTAGCTTTTTTGATAAGTGTTCGTGGTGTTTTCCAGAGTCGACATTCCCACCAGCAGTTGATGAGGGTGTCCCTAGTGTCTGGTCCCCACTCCCCCAGCACTGGCAGCTTTTGTTCTTTTTTACATCAGTCTCACTGGTGTGAGGTGGTATATCTCACTGGTGTTTGTTTGTGCATTTCCCTGATAATTAGTGGTGGAGTTCTGGCCTTCTTTCCTTGAAGTTACTAATCCTTTTCAGGTGGGTTCCATGCTTATCACCTTCCAAAGGCTCTAGGAGCCAACATGATTTGGAGCTGATGCAAGCATTTCGTCTGTTGCCCATAGAATATCGGGCTGTCCCAACAGATGGTGAGGGCTAGGAATGCATCTCCAGGGAGAAGTACTAGTTCGACGTGGGGCTCAATATCCAGCCCCTCTCACCACCAAAACCAGAATCTGTTTGCTCAAATGTCCCTGAGATAACCAAAGAGACAGTATAGCAGAAAGCAAAGATTCAGTGAGTGTGTTGGCTGTGTGGTTCCCACTAAAGTGAGTGTGCTGGGGGCCTGGGAAGGGGCACAGGTCGTGGGGCCCCGGGTTCTGTTCCTGGCACCCTGGCACTGCTCTGAGCAGTAGCCAAAAAAAAAATGGACAGAGTGGAGCCAGGTTCTCAGTTCCAATGTCACCTTCCTTCCTGGAGGGATCCCGGGCAAACGGAGTGAGAAGTTCTATGAGTGCTGCAAGGAGCCATACCCAGATGTCACCTTCACAGTGACTATCCGCCGCCGGACCCTCTACTATGGCCTCAATCTGCTCATTCCCTGCGTCCTCATCTCTGCCCTGGCTCTCCTGGTCTTCCTGCTGCCTGCTGACTCTGGGGAGAAAATCTCCCTTGGTATGTTTCCACGTCTGACTTTGGTGGGGGTCTGCTATGGGATAGGGTGGGGGTGGGGTGACCCTGTCTGAAGGCAGCACTGCTGGACCCACAGTACTTGCACAGAGTGGGGACTGGGGATTTCTGTACTGTCCCAGGGCCTGTGGGGAAAGGAGGGAGCTACCACCCATTGATTCCATGTCCAAGCAAATTGGGCCCCCCGGGGCTCTGTCCCCATGGTCATGTGCATGTCCCAGACCCACCCCCCCCCCACCACCTTCCCCTGGGCCAGCACTAGGACATAGTTGGCCAGGAAGGCTGGGTTATGCCCTTCCTCAGCAGGTCTCTGTCCACTGCTTTCCTGGCGCCCAGCAGCATTTCTGGTGGGCAGGAAACTGTTGAATGGGTCTATTCAAGGGCAAGAGAAATTCCACTCACACTGAGCTCAACCTGTGAGCTCTCTCTTCTTGCCAGATTCACATGCCCCTCAGCCCTAGGTCTGACTCTTTCCAGGCTCACATGCCCCTCAGCCCTAGCTCTGACCCCAGAGAGAGGGAATCTTGAGAGTCCGGGTGAACCTTATGCTGTTTTCTGAGATTTGGGGGTGGTTGGGAGCTTGCAGTGGAGGAGAGGTACTTTGAGCACATCCCTGCTCACTTTAGCTGCTGGGGAACATTGTGGGTTAGGGGTACAGAAAAGATAGAACTGATACTGCTGGTTAGATACCCCACCCCACTGGCTGTGTATTTATTTTGCTCTCTGGCTTGTGCATTTCACCAACTAGCTTGTGTATTTCAGCCTCTGCCTTATATATTTCAGTTTTTGCCTTGTATATTTTACTGGCTTTCTTGTGTATTTCACCTGGCACTGATTTTCCCTCCCTCAGCCTGTAGATAGGGGAGCAAATGAAGAGCAGACATACCAGCTTCATTCCCTTCCGAATTCCTTTTTAGTGCCTCCCTTTCAACTTCCTTCTTAGTGTTGAAAGTGTCCTGTTCTCCTACCCAAGTCTCAGGCACTGCCATTAATGTCAGGTCCACTCCTGTGTGCACACACCTTCTTTCATCATCCCCCTGTGTGCCAGGCTCAGTTCTTAACACTTCTCAAGTTCCAGAGCAAGTGTCCTGCCCATTGGCCCCAAGAAGCATGTATTATGGTTCAGGATGCTCCAGGCGCCTCCTGCAGTAACTCCCCAGGACTAAGGAACCCAGTGGGTAGCTTGTGGAGCTCTCGGCAGCTCAGTACTTTGCTGCGCCTGGACAGCGCCACTGTGTGTGTGTGTTTCAGGGATCACCGTCTTGCTCTCACTCACCGTTTTTATGCTGCTGGTGGCAGAGATCATGCCTGCGACCTCCGACTCGGTGCCCTTGATTGGTGAGTGAGCCCCAGGTGGGAACAGCAGAGCTTTGTGCCCTGGGCACTCCCATCCCCCAGCATCTGAGAACACGTGGCAACGGTGCCCTGCATGGGGGCCTTCAATGCATGGGCTCCTGGCCTCACCCACTCTCTTCTCCCGGCAGCTCAGTACTTTGCCAGTACCATGATCATCGTGGGGCTCTCGGTGGTGGTGACGGTTATCGTGCTGCAGTACCACCACCATGACCCTGATGGCGGCAAGATGCCCAAATGGGTATGTTCCTTCTGCTCTCACACCATGGAGACATGGAACCATGGCTTCTCCCACTGCAAGGCCCCGCCCACCACGAAGACATGGCCCTGCCCTCTGCAAAGACCCCACCCTCTGTAGACATGGCTCCTCCCACTATGGAGACATGACCCCTCCCTCCACAAGACCCCTCCCACTATGGACACATGGCTCCTCCCACTGTGAATAGGTGAATAGACCCCAACCACCATTGAGCCATAGCTCCTCCCACTGCTCAAGGCCCCTCCCACTGCGAGGGACATTGTCCTTCTGGCCCACCACCTAAAGCGGGGTGCCTCTACCCAGAGGTGAGGCCCAAGAGGCTGACTCTGTAAACCCCAGCACCAGCCTTGCGGGATATCCTTCTGAGTAGGCTGCGTGGGGATCCTGCATCGCCTCCCTGCACAGATCCATGGTCCACCTAGCAGAACTTTCCCGCTCTTTATCAACTTCGAAAATCGCTTCTCTCTTCCTCCCACCCTTTGTTGTTCTTGATGGTCTTGTGGCAATTGACCGGGGTCACGCATGCCTTGACAGTCTCCATTGGCAGGGCCAGTGCCAGCTGTACTTCTCGGTTATCTGCGCAATCTGGTTTTGGTGCAACTGGGGAGTCACCAGTGGCTGACCCTGGTTCGAGATCCAGCACCACCTGGTTCCCTGAGCACCGCCAGGTATCCTGGGCTCCAAGGGTCCGAGCTGCACCACATCCTCACCTCCATGCATTGACCCTCCAGCCGATAGGAGAAATCTGGGGACTGCCTCTCCACTGCTTAAAAGACACCCCCCTACCCCTAGAAAATATAAAAGAGTCTAGGCATAAAAACACCCAGCAGATTTTCATGACCTAGTAGCTCTTTCGTGTTTCAGAGAAATCTGAATTCTGAGCAGAGACTCATCACTCCCGTCAGTACACGATCACGGTAACACTGAGGGCGGCAGAGGAAGTGGGGAAGTCGACACTCTACTTTTCCCCAGCCCCCTACGTTTTGCCTTCCCTTGTGCATTTGGAGCATAAATGGCCTCCCCGGGATGGTTCTTATGATTTGCTGCTATGAAGAAGATACTGCCGAAAGCGGTGGCATTAGGTGACATTTGCACAGCCAGAGTCCAGACAGTCGCAGAACAGGAGAGGTCATGTACACAGTGCGCTCGATGCCACGGGGATAATCTCATCATTTCAGATGCCTGAGCTTTGAAAGCTAATGATTCACGCTGTGGAATTCAGAGTAGACTTGGAATGTGCAGCGTGCCCACCTGAGTTGTTCCCCCTCCCCACGGTATGCAGCCCCCAAAACATGCAAAAGAGGAGCCTGGCACAGTTGTGGATTTGGGCAGATCCTGCCCACTGGGTCTGCACATTCTTCTGCACAGTCTTCCAGAGGGAGCTAGGGCTCATGTGACAGGTGGACAGAATAGAAACTTGGGTTCTGCAGGTTTGGGTTTGAGTGGGTGGCTCTCTCTCCTTGAGAGGAAAAGCAATAGAAATGCTGAGTGATTTGCACTCAGTATTTTCTTCTGTTTGTTTGTTTGTTTGTTTGCTTCTGGGCCACACCTCTGGTGCTCAGGGAATGACTCCTGGTGGTGCTCAGGGGACCATACAGTGTATCAGGCATCTATCCCAGGCCAGCCATGTGCAAGGCAAGCGCCCTACACACTATCCTGCCTCTCTAGCCCTAGCATCCAGAATTTTCTAACTCCACAGGCATTGTTCACACAGAACCCTTGGGAGCAGGAGCAACAGGCTTGTTGTCTGTGATGGATTTTGCTCTCTTGCAGCTGGGCAGAACTGTTGAGCTATGATGTTCCTGCGTGGCCTGTGCCATGAGCCAGCCAGCCTTGGCTAGACTGTTCTTGGTTTTTGGTTTTAAGGGCTACCTTTACTCCTGGCTCTGTGCTCAAGAATCAGTCCTGGCAGGCTCAGGGGACCAAATAGGGTGTCAGGAATCGAACCCAGGTCAGCCGTGTGCAAGACAAGTGCTCTCCCTGCTGGCCTGTCGCCCTGGCCTGTCATTTCAAAGTGCTTTTCTACCTACAGTCACAGGGACTCACGCAGGGATGACTCCTTGCTCTGTGCTCAGGGACCCCAGCTGTGCCCAGGCATCAGGCTGCGTGCAAGGCAAGCACCTTATTTGCTGCACTCTCTTTTCAGCCCAGTTACTTGGCACTTTTAGAAAAAAAAAGTGTTTGGGCTGAAACATTAGTAACATGGGGAGGGCATTTACCTTGCATGCAGCTCACCTGGGTTTGATCCCCGGTATCCCATATCCCATAGGGTCCCCTGAGCACTGTCAGGCATGATTCCTGAGCACAGAGTCAGGAGTAACCCCTGAGCATTACTGGGTATGGCTCCAAACAAAAAAAAATTTAACTTGAAAAACATTTCAATTCTCCCATAGAATCCTGAGTTTGCTGTGGCATTCTAGGGTGCCCTCTAGGAAGTACGGTTCTAGATGAGGAAAGGATCAGAGAGGGCTGGCGATTTGCCTACACACAACAGCTGAGGACCCCCACATAGTCTGACTTCTGGGGGGGGGAGGAGGCTGTTCTGCCTGACCTCTTCTATTCTCACCTCGCTTTGCTCTTTTGCCACCATGATAACATGAAGCACTAACGCTGAGGCCCTGCTGCGCTGAGTACACTGCCAGGGGAAGGTGCGGGGTGCTCCTGCAGAGTCAGTAGTATGGGTAGTGTGACCGCCCGCCCCTGACACTCTTTGTGTCCTGCAGACCCGAATCATCCTTCTGAACTGGTGCGCATGGTTCCTGCGCATGAAGCGTCCGGGCGAGGACAAAGTGCGTCCGGCCTGCCCGCACAAGCAGCCGCGGCGCTGCAGCCTGGCCAGCGTGGAGATGAGCGCTGTGGCCGCGGGGCCCCCAGCTGCCAATGGCAACCTGCTCTACATCGGCTTCCGCGGGCTGGATGGCATGCACTGCGCCCCGACGCCAGACTCCGGGGTGGTGTGCGGCCGCCTGGCCTGCTCACCTGCGCACGATGAGCACCTGCTGCATGGTGGGCCACCGGCTGATGGGGACCCTGAGCTGGTCAAGATCCTGGAGGAGGTGCGCTACATCGCCAGCCGCTTCCGCTGCCAAGATGAGAGCGAGGCCATCTGCAGTGAGTGGAAGTTTGCTGCCTGCGTCGTGGACCGCCTGTGCCTCATGGCCTTCTCCGTCTTCACCATCATCTGCACCATCGGCATCCTCATGTCGGCTCCCAACTTTGTGGAGGCTGTGTCCAAAGACTTCGCTTGAGCTGGGTCAGATGGACCCTGCTGCTGGGATGTCTGTGCCCCCCAAGTGTCTGTCCCCCACGTTGTCTGTCATGTTGGTTCCCTTGTCACTTGTCACTTGCAGAGGGGCTCATCCTGGTTCAGCTTCACCCTTCCCACCCAGCTCTGTCATCACCGTGTGTAGCGTCAGATCTGCAAGGACCCCCCCATTCCCATAAGGCCTCACCCCTAGAGGCAAGCCTTTCAGAGAAGTAGGCCGGGGTGGGCACTGGACGGTCAGTATGCATGATTGCATGTCACTCACCATGAAGCATTTCCATGGAAAACCCTTGTATGCTTCTGCCTGTGTAAGAACCCAGATTGCCTCAAAACTCTCAAAACCCATTCAAATGACTGCAAATCCACTCAAATGACTGGTTGGTGGGAGGGAAAGTCAGGAAAGAGGACATGAAACCAAAACTGAAAGTTTCTTTATTTTGTTCTTTGTGTTTTCCTCCACCAATCCCTGGTCAAGAGACAGTTTGATGCTATGTTCAGACAAACTGGGCTTGTAAATAAGTCTCTCACCAGCCTGATGGCTCCAACCCAACCTTGTCCGAGGAATCAGGATGTTACTGACTGCATTTGATGGTGGACTAGGGTTGTTGGACCCAGTAATCCCAGGGCATTTCTGCTAAACCCTGGGCTGTGGAGTGACTGCTGTCTGCAGAGACCACAGGAAAGGGTTGCTTCAGAACTATCAGTCCAATATAACAGCTAAAGCTAAATGAAGTGAAGTTGAATTTGTGTGTGTGTGTGTGTGTGTGTGTGTGTTAAATTGTACACTATTAAATGCTTCACCTGTTAAATGCTTCACCTATGTTGCAGTTGATTAGATTTAGGCATTCGTGGATCCAAGTAGGCAACATAAAGTGAGCATTCCCACGTTGTTTTGTTTTTTATCCATATCAGGGCAGTTTAGACCTCATCATGCTCCCTATGTGTCAGAAAGGCTTGGGCTTTGCTGGAGGATGAGTAAAGACAGCTGTCCGGTCCCCATAACTCCAGCCTCTGGCTTTGTCCCCCTTTCACTCTTATTTCCAGCTCAGGAAACAGTCAAGACGTGTGTTTCAAGAAAGAAACTTTCATTTGACCCTGGCGATAGGGCACGCCCCTTCGATTGTCTGATAATAGTCCTCTGGGCCCTTTCCCATTCTTAGTGAGATCAGAGGGTGATTCACCTAGAAAAATCTCTTCTGTCCTTCTGTGTGTACCCAGGAGTGGCTCAGAACTCGGAGCTCCGGGCTTCTGAGCTCCAGGGCATCTTTGACTCGCTTTTCCCCCTGCCATGGGCACATCATAAGAGAAGATTGATTTTCAGAGCAAAAGGAATTGCCTACATGTATTCACTTGTGTATTTCAGTCCTTCCTGGGGAAAATGGATGAATTTGCTTGCGCTATGGAAGACTGTGTGTGTGTGTGCGTGTGCCTGTGTGTGTGTGTGTGTGTGTGTGTGTGTGTCCTCAGGGTCCTGTCCCCCCCTTCCCTATTCTACAAGAGATAAATGGTTGATGCACTTCCCCCACCCCCCAATTTATTGTCTTTTTTTTTAAAAAGAAAGCAAAATAAAACAAGTCCAAGTGTTTTCCAGCTAAAGAGAAGACTTCATTTCTCTTGCTGCTCACAGACTCACTTTTTCCATCTTTGGCTTTAAAACAAAGGAATGCATTTGGATTCGCACTTGAGATGGCATAACCTAAAAAAACAAAGTGGTTCTGGTTTTGCACACCCAAGTAAGGACCTAGTAAGGAACAGATACGTGAGTGCTAAGCACGAGAAGGTCAAATCTGTCTCCCTCTCTGCTTCATAGATGCTCATGGCAAGCTACTGTGGATTGTGTGTGTGTGTGTGTGTGTGTGTGTGTGTGTGTGTGTGTGTTGTGGGGAGGGAGTCGTGTCCTTCCAGAAAGGAAGGGAAGAAGGGGGAGCTCAGTGAGGGAGATATTCCTTTTGGACACTGCTATGCACAGATGCACTTTCCTTTCTCTGCACTTTGCTTTCTTTGTTGAGTGTATTTTAGAGAACTTTTCCATGGCAACATAGGAAGAGCTACCTCGTTCTAACTGATGCTTCACATTCCATTATCTCGGTGGCCTCTCATTTCTCTGATTAGGCTATTGTTGGGGAATCTATAGAGTATCTGCTGTTTGTTATTTTTGTACATAAACCTGTAATTAGCATCCGTGGACTTGGAGCCCGGCATCCTCTTGTGACTGTCTTGGTGTAAATTCCAAAGTGGCAATGGAATTTCTCCGTTAAGACTGTGAGCATTTAACCTTTTCATAGACGCTGTCAGATTAGCCTCTCAATAACACCTATAGATAGGGTGATTCCTCATATTGTTTTATGAATCATTAAGGAACTTTTTTCCCAATCTGGTGAGTAAGAAAAAAAACATATTGCAATAGCATTCAAATTTAGTTCATCTCATGAGCAAAGTGAAGACTCTTTGGAAATGGTTTGTTGGTACTTTGCATTCCTATAAATTTATGTTTTTTATGCAACTTTCAATTGGGTTGTTTGGATTTTTTTAATTATTAATTTGCCTGTGCACCATGAAAGTTTTCTGTTATATCTTGAAAATATTTTGGTTCATTTATTAGTTGTCTTTTGATGTTATTTATTAATTTATTTATTTGTATGTAGAAAATGTATGATTTTATGTGCAGCTTTTCCATATTTTCTTGGAATTTGTTTCTATTTTCAATAATTTTCCTTTCTGAAATTATAAATAAACGTACTCATATTTTTTTCTAAGTCCTTATGGTTTTAGTTTTTATTTTTTCTAAGTACTTATGGTTTACTTTCCTAGATTTTTTTTCTTTTTCACAAGAAATGAAGGTAAACATGGATTACCAGTTAACCAGTTGTGCCAGAAAAATATGTAACATTGCATTCTTATAAAATAATTATAGTCTTTTTCCACATATTAAAATTCTACCTTATTGTAAACTCCTAAGTATGTGTATCTCTTTCTGTTTTATTAATTTATCTCTCTAAGGATGTCTTCAATTGATGCAGTTTCATTACATAAGTATCAAATATTTATAGTAATCAGTATTTTTAAGTCAACACAGCACCCCCCTCCACCCCACACACATTCCACTCATCTACCTCCTCTCACAAACATGCACCTTATTTCTTAATTTAAATCATACTGACTCCATAGATGAATTGAGTACAAGAACAATCTAGGCTCATATTCAAATCTAATTTTAAATATTAGATTTTGGTCCACTCCAGGGGTTTTATTGTTTTGTTGAGATAGAACTCCATGAATTTTTTTTTTATTTCTAGGGATCCTATCATTCTGTTACCATTCTCAGTGAAATGATTCTTTCATTTTATTTTCTAATTGAAAATAGAGAAAAGTAATTGATTTTGTGTATTCAGGTAACCAACTACTATAATTTCGGTTTCTTATTATATCTAAGAGTTTCTGTGTCTCTTTTTCATTATTTATTTCTTGTTCCTGGCCAGTTGCTTTTGAGAAGAGGCAGATGTAACTGATAATAATAATAATTCAGGAGGCATACATTTTTTTTCATAGTTGGTGGTGCTCAGGGCCACCTTCTGGCTCTGTGCTCAGGGCTTGCTCCTGGCTGTGCTGGGACTGGGGGATCCCATGCAGTGCAGGGGGTCAAACAGAGTTGGCTATGTGCATCTTATCCTGGTATCATCTCTCTAGTCCTTCAATTCATCTTCCTCCTGCTTAATTTGGGTTCCTGTGTGGGGGACCTTATTTCCATCTGTGAGAGCTTAAGACTCTCTTCCCCAAATCTCACATTACTCTCCCATTTAAGCTCCTGGGGAGGATTTGATGCTCTCATTGAGTGTCTTGGCCTTGGACCGCCCCACAATACTTCCCATACACCCATGCTTTGAGGTAAGTTTTGGGGAACTGACCTCCCAGGTGATGCTCAGGAGGTTCTCAGCTCATCTAGCCAGGGGTTCCCTACAAGGGCGGGATGAAGCATTGTTATTAGGGCCATTTGGTGCTGGGGATCCCGGGGCCTTTCTGGAGGTGCTTGGGAGCTCCAGAGTTTATCCAGGTGATGCTCAGGAGACTGTGGGGTGCTGGGGATCAGACCCATGCCATTTGATTCAGAGAGAAGAGAAGCTCTTCATGCATATAGCCAGCAGACTGGCTGGAGATTCTGATTATACCTTTGTGGATGGTGGTTGGAATCACATTCATTTAATTTCTGCCCCTGTGGGAGAATACTGCAACCCCCCTGCACCCCATATGTTTCCCAATTCCACTGAGATCCTCAAGGGGCTCTGTAAAGGAGTCTGTGCTCATGGGATTTCTAGAACATTCCTCCCCAGACAATAGCTTCTCAGTTCAAACTCAGTCCACGATCAGAGAGGCCTCAACAGACTGGAGCACATGCTTTGCATATAGGAGGCCAGGGTTCAAGTCCTCGCACTGCATGGACCCCTCAGCACCATTCGGACCCTGAGCACTGAGTGAGGAGTGAACCAAAATTCTGAAGTATGCGACCCTTCACTCCCTCCACAACCCCCTTCAATGGGGAGGAAGAATAAACCAGGCATTTCAGGGGGTATTGAATAATATCACACTGAGATTGGGTCTAGGGCTTTGCAGACACACCCCACCCCTTAATCTTTTCTATGTATAACATGTGTGGGGGGGCAATGAGGGCCACCCCCAGACATGCACAGCATGGCAGTGGAAGCCTGATGATCGGGTGCTTGGCCCAGTGAGCTGCAGGGGCCACCAGAACCCCCACTTGGCAGTGTTCAGGGGCATGTGGTCCTGGGGATGGAACTCAGGGCCATGCCTATACTCTGCCTCTAGAGCACTCTCTCGGATATGCCTTGCCTTTCTGCTTGGGTGCAGCATTTTGGGATGCATTCTAGCCTCATGATTTCTCCCTAATGCCCTTGACCTCCCTGAGGAAAATGAGGTGCAGTGGAGAGCATCAGACCGTAGCACCGGGCCGCGGGGAGTTATACGCGCAGTAAACTGACAGAGACCTGGCAGATGTTTTCACCT